TTTCCTGATCAGCTGTGCAGAACCACCCAAAAGCTCCAAATGATTAGAGAAACAGTGCCCTTTGAAGTAAACACCTTTGGGTTCCTCCAAGTGGAAGACTCAGTACTTTTCACCTCTAAAAGTAAAAGCATTTTATAGGCAAGAAACAATCAAACCATACATTGTTCATAAAATTTGGGTTAAAATAACTCATCACTGAAATGTTACATGTCTACTCCTGCTAATATAATCTGTAAATCTATTCTGCTTTGTTGAAGTACATATATCAAGATACATCTTCGAAAGAAGAAGGGCAAATTCAAATATAACCTTCTATAGAGTACAAAAAAATCCCAAAGATCTAGTAGCCATTCTTATAGTAATTTACATTGCTTTCCATACAACCTCAGAAAACTTTTGGTCTGTGCTTTTAAAATGCCCGGTGCTCACTGAATGTCTATATGTTTAGCTGCTTAATTATACTTCAAAAGGAGTTATAGATCATTAGAAAGTTTCCTAAATTCAAACCTTGATAACGAAAGTTGCTTGATTTAAATATTAAATTCATAAAGCTAGTGCTGATTCTCTGCTTCTTAACTTAACATTTCATTTCATACTGCTGATCATGATGGTTAATATTGCACATTGGGGACCCGTTAAAAGTCACTTGAATATCAGTGATGAAAGAGTATAGAAGAGATGTGTATCCTTTTGCTAAGTTCTCCAGTCTGGCATTGATCCATAGAATATAAACTGCAGCATCAGCTATTGGCTACACAGATCACTTCATTTGACATTTCTTGAAGTGAGATCAGTGACTAATATAATTTAATGAACTAATGTTCATTGTTACTAGGGCTGTGCAAAGCTTTGGTCGCTGGTTCGATTTGGAGGAGATTCGGCCCAATTTGGCGACCGAATCTCTGAATCCGAATTGAATCAGGAGACCCTTTGATCTCTCCAAATCAAATCAGAAGCCTCCAATTCGATTCAGAGAGATTCGGAGAGATTTGACAATTCTGCCATAGACACAGCTTTATATGTTTTTCTACATACTTCAAGGTACTAGGTGCAGTTCGTGAATGCTGAGATGGTGGGTTGGATGGAATGTTCCACAGCAGAATGAAGGGGGTGTCCCGCGCACTTGGCAGTGGACCCAGAAGTGGACCAGAAGTACTTCCGGTCCACTTCCAGGTCCACCGCGGAGCTTGCAGGGGACCTCCACCTGCCACCCAGCTCAGTAACTGGTGCCTCCTGGGTCTGGCAGTGGGGAACCCAGGGTCTTCCCATGGCTGATCGCTGAGCTGGGGGGATGCGGGGGTGGGGGTCCCCTACACACTTGACGGCAGACCCAGAAGTGGACTGGAAGTACTTCCGGTCCATTTCTGGGTCCATCGCCAAGCATGCAGGCCCCCTCCCGCACCCCACCCCTTTGCTCCTGTGGGATGCTCCATCTGCCCCACCATCTCAGCATTCACAAGCCATGCCTGGTACCTCTAGGTATGTAGAAAAAACATATAAAGCTGTGTCTATGGCCGAATCACTGATTCTCTGAATTAGAATCAAATCTTCAGATTCAGCCAGATCATATTGGGACAGTGATCTGTATCAGCAAATCGAATCTTTGTCCCTCGAATCAGGCTGAATCCGAATCAAATACTGCCCACTTCACACACCCCTAATTGTTACCGTATTGTATGACAGAACTAGCAAGACATACACATTAACAAACTAAGTAGCCAAGTGATCCTATTCCCGTAACCCAAGTCCTTCCTCATTCTATTCCTTCTCTACCATTACTGTTGCTTTGTCATGGATAAATTAGCATACAAAGGACCAAATATGTATTTATTCCTTAGATGTATATGCTGCCTTTCCCAATAAAGGTTCAAGATGGCTTATAGTAGGCGACAGAAACAACTTATAAGCAAACAGAATAACATACAAGTAGCTGGAAGTAAACAGGAAACAATCTTCTTAAAAAACAATATATGCAGCTAGCCTGGCTTGCTAAATGCCACCCCAAATAGGAAGGTCTTTCATTGCTTCTGAAAGGTGTTCAGGTTTGGGCTTTGACAGGTCTCAAGGAGGGAGTTCCAAATCTGAGGAGTGATTACCATGAACAACCTCCCATGTGTTTCTACCACGCAAGCTTGGCAAGTAGATGGTCCTAGTATGAGACTGCTTTAACATAATTGGTTCCTGAAAACTGCATCTTAAGTCAAAATGTTGTAACTTGAAACCAATTTTCCCATAGGAAACAATATTTTAAATGGGGGATTGGTTCCTGAACCAAGGCCTGATACCCTATTTTCACCCAAAAATAACCAAGAATTTCCTCCAGTACTCAATCAATTATATAAAATAAATAAATGTAGCTATATGACTTGTCTATATGTATTTATTTATGTATTTATATTGTGTCGCAGGACACTCCCGTGCCCTGCTCCTAGGAAAAGGTACAGATGCCAGTTGCTGGGGCAACCGCAGTTTGGTCAGCTGACCGGAAGGGGGCAGGGCCTGGCCTATATAAACAGCCTAGGCTGAGGCCAAGCAGGGAGTTCCCTACTAACATCCCAGGGAGAAGGAGCTCTGCTAGAGTATGCAGCCTAGAGCAGCTTGACGGCCTGAACCAAGTCTTCAGTTCACGGAGACTGGGAGGAGAAACCCCTGGTAGGGATCTGAGTGAGGTTTAGCTAGAGGGCTAGAGTTTGCGTTTTAGCCAGGAGGCTTGGTTTTGAGTTGTAGCCAATTGGCTTATGGTTTTGCTTTGTTGTTACACCGGAGGACCGGGTGAGGCTAATAGGGGTTGGAGGAGGCCTCATTAGGGGCTCTAGAGTGGTGTGGGGACCCCGGTGCCGGAGAGGGCACAGCAGTCAGGGGTGTACTGACCCCAGCCCTGAAAAGGGGCCCAGTGGATTGAGGGCCAGGTAAGGCCGAGGCCGCCTGAGCTATATAGGAATCGTAGACCCAAGGAGGGGATTTAGGGGCCAGGCATGGCTACGGCCACCTGAGCCCCAATTGTGAGGAGCCCCAGGGAGGGCGCACAGGAACAGAAGCCCCAGGGAGGGCGCACAGGAACAGAAGCCCCAGGGAGGGGATTTGGGGGCTAGGCACAGCTACGGCCACCTGAGCCCTGTTCGTGAGGCAGGGCCCCAGTGCGGGCAGGATCATGAGAGTGCCCCGGTGGGGCACGGCCGCAAGAGAGGCCAGAGAGTGTCCGCAGGGAACACGGGCATCGGTGAGAGGAGAGAGACCAGGGAGCGCTTGTGAGAGAGCACAGGCTAAACAGCCACGAGAGAGGCCAGGGAACCCACGAGGGTGCAGGCAACTAAGACAAGCCCAGAGGACATCCGTGAGGACGCGGGCTAAAGCGAGGCAAGCAAGGGGCCGCCATGAGGGTGCGGCAAGGGATTTGCCTAGACAACGGCCGGTACATCTGCGAGGCTTGGGGCCTGGTATCAGGGATGGTAGGAGCCATGCGTAGCCCTTAAGGCTTTAGTGCACGGGGTCAGCTGAGACAGGGCACTGACCGGGATACATCAGGGGTACCATGTCCAAGGGGTTGACAAGGCAGCCTCCCATAACACTAATGCCATCAAAGACGTGGTGGGTGAGAATGAGGGTGCATTTATACCAACTTGGCACGGTAGGGGGCGCTAGGAGAGATCACCACTGCTCCTGGGTCCCCGCCCCGTGACATATTGTAAATAGTAATCATATTTATTTGTAAGGACTTCTTTGAGGTGACTTTGCTGGCCTTTTTGAAAGGTTCTTGGCTAGAGTCTTCTCAGGAATCTTGGCTGCCTTCTTAAAGAAAGTGTGCAAAGAAGTTTGGACAGATGTTCTCTTCTTTTGCTTGTAAATTTCTCTGTAGCAGCTATATGTGCTGGATATGCCCCTATTCACAGATGCACTCAGACAGGGACATGGCAGCTTCCAAATGTTGAAATGCCTCAGCCAACACTTTTGTTGTCAAGACTTTATGAGGAGAAGTCTCTTCAACAGTGTGTGCATCTTCTTCCTCTGCCATGTTTTGCTGTTCCAATTCAATGAGGCCCTCATTGGTTAATTCTTCAGAATGGGATGCCAGCAACTCATCAACATCTTCTGGTGCAATGTCTAAATTGAGTTCTTTGCCCATTTTAACAACATTTTTGGTCACCTTTTCAACAGTGTCTGTAAAGCCTTGGAAGTCAGACACAAACTTAGGACACATTGTTTTCCAAACACCATTCAAATTTGATTGTTTGTCTTCATTCCATGCCTCACCAATGTTCTTAACTGCATGGTAAATGTTGAAACCCTTTCAAAATTTCTTCAGAGTTGGTCCACCTTCCTTCTCGCTTGTCCTGGTGGGCTGGACAAATGTGCACCTAATATAGTAGGCCTCAAAGGATGCAATTACCCCCTGGTCCATAGGTTGCAACAATGCGGTGGAGTTGTGGGGCAGAAACACTGCTTTGATGTCAGGATGTATGTCATCTAGGATGGTAGGATGACCAGGAGCATTGTCAAGTATTAACAACACTTTAAATGCAAGATTGTTTTTGTTGCAATAATCCCTGACACTTGGCACAAAATTATGATTAAACCAATCCTCAAAAATGTTCTTATTGACCCATGCCTTAGGATTGGATTTCCATATCACTAGAAGAAATGCCTTGGAATGTCCCTTGAAAGCTCTGGGGTTTTCTGAATGGTACACAAGTAAAGGTTTAAGTTTAAAGTCACCTACAGCGTTGGCACCAAGCAAAACAGTGAGCCTATCTAAAGCAGCTTTGTACCATGGCATGGATTTCTCCTCTTTGGCAATGTAAGTTCTTGATGGCATTTTATTCCAAGAGTCCAGTTCTGTCAACATTAAAAACTTGCTAAGCACAATAGCCATTCTCTTCAATGATTTCAGCCAATGTCTCAAGAACAGCATGAGCTGCCTCTTCACCAGGACTGGTAGCTTCACCTGAGACCTTGATGTTATGCAAATTGGCCCTGGCTTTAAAACACATAAACCAGCCCTTTTATGCAGTAAAAGGCTCAGCATTAGAACTCTCCCCCTGTTGTTTCTTTAGATCATCATAAAGAGTCCTAGCCTTTTCCTGAATGATGCCTAAACTCACAGGAGGACGGTGTTTATTTTGATCATCCAGCCAAATGATTAACAGTTTCTCAACCTCAGCAATAAGTCCAACACACTGCTCAGTTATCACAGTTGAGTGCATAGGAGCTGAGTCCTTAACATGCTCCTGAATTCTTGCCTTATCTTTCGGGATGGTCATGATAGCTGTTCGTGGGATATCCAAATCTCTACCCATTTCAGTTGGGGTCCCACCTTTCTCAGACCCCTTAATTATTTCCTTTTTTGTTTCCATAGTAATTGTTCTACATTTCTTAGAAGAAACATCACTTCCACCGGATTTATGCTTTTCTGCCATCATTACGGGCAGTTTGGAAAAAGTTTGGAAACAGAACAGCACATGGGCAGTGCCATCAACTTGTTGTTCACTGGCACTTATTCTTTTTTCAGTACAGGTACAGTACCATAGCGCTGTAGTGGTAGCAGCAGCAGTGATGACTGAGTATCAGACAATGTCTCTAGAAAATGGCCCCCAGAGAAGTGGCACACTGCTGCTCTGGCCACGTGTCTGGGAGGGCATGGGGGGGACTGGTGTGTGCCCCTGGAACTGTCCCGAGCACAGCCCTCCCCTCCCAGACCAGATCTGGGGGTCACATGTCCCTCCCCCACCCCACCCCACCCCACCCCATGCCCTCCTGGACAAGCAGCAGGAGCCACTGGACAGGCCATGGCTTCTCCTGCAGCCACCTGGCTCAGTCCCAGAACTGCCTGCTTAGCCCCAGTGGGAGCAGCCAGGGGATCAGGCAGATGAGCCATGGCTTGAGCTGTGGCTTCTCTTGCGGCCACCCAGCTCAGCCCCAGAACTGCCTGCCTTGCCCTAGTGGGGGCAGCCAAGGGAGCAAAGAGATGAGCCACAGCTTGAGGTGTGGCTTCTCCTGTGGCTGCCTGGCTCAGCCCTGGAACTGCCTGTCTTGCCCCGGCAGGGGCAGCCAAGGGAGAAGGCAGATGAGCCATGGCTTGAGCTGTGGCTTCTCCCGTGGTCATCCAGCACAGCCCTGGTATTACCTGCTTCACCCCAGCGAGGGCAGCCAGGGGAGCAGCCAGACAAGCTGCAGCTTCTCCTGCCACCCATAGCCCCCACTCCCAGAGCCTGGCACAGCCCCAGCTGGGCA